GCACATATATATATATACTGTCGACATCACAGTCACTCCTTAGTTCTATTGCTCTTCACCTCACTAGAACACCTCTCCTAACTTAGCTAATTAGCTGCTGCTAATTAGCTTTGTTTGCTCGAAGGTTCTCGAATTTAGTTTAACAAATTTTGTTGGTGTTAGCTGCAGCTGCCTACTGGTAACTGTGTCTGCCCGCGGAGCGCTAACTTTGAGATGCCTTCTCTTTTATCTCGACGGAGTTGATTTTGTGGTTCGGGATGAGCACAAAATTACTCAAGAAGAAGCAGAAGTCTTCAGTTCGCCCCTGTCCCCAGGGGTGCGGCTTCTCGCTCCATGAAAAGGACCAGCACGAGGCTTGCCCGGTCTGTCTGGGAATCGTCCACGCTCGTAGGGCGTTGATGGAGCCCGAAGCGCGTGCGTTTTGCCGCCTGCTTCGACGCTCAACCCTGGAAAGACGGGTTAAGTTCTTGGAGAAAGTGCTGGGCAAGGCTGCAGTCGCGCACCAGGGCCCTTTCCTCTCCAATTCTAGCAACCCGGTTCCGTCCGAGTCTGACGAGGAGGAGCTCTCGGTCGAAGTCCCTGCTCCCAGCTGGGCAGACCAAATGGAGTATATGGAGGGGTTGAAGCTCGGAGTTGATTGGCCGATTTTACAGTCAATCAAAGCTAGAAAGACGAAAACCGGAAGTTGGTCACTACTGATAAATTATTGGCCCTAGACAGGCGAAACTAGAACCCAGTTGGTCAAATGAGGTGTCAATTGAAAGAGGAGGGCCTAGACGTCACGTTTGATGCATTGCACATGGACACAGGCGGAAAAGGAAACAGATATTATACTTCAAAATAAAACAAATACAAAATGGCACGCGGGCGTTCCGCTGAATGTTAATGTTGTCCTAGATCCTGTTCTAAATTAAAGCCATATATTATTGTGCATGTGTTTATTTCAAGGTTTTGCATCTTTTGGATTGTCAGTAAACCATCTTGAAGATTACGTATGATGCTTTTTAGTAATGCAGGTGAAATAGAACTGAGTATATTATACATGCATCCAGAGTTGGGATGTGATTCAATCAAGACTGAGCAGAAACAATAATAAAAAGGTTGACTTATTGTGTCAAAATGGACTCTACTGTCAAAGGCAAGGAAAAGTTTTATACCCTTTATGTACCATTGAAGTCAAAGTTGGAAAAATCCAGTTTCAACTTCAAACAAAGCAAAAGTGTTAGAACACATTCAGTTTTTTTAGTTATGTTTGCCTTTGATTGCACCTACACAGCCATGTCTTGTAAGCGTATTTGTTTTGTTGTGTTAAGACACTTATCTCGGTGTATCACAACAGTTTGCTTATCGTTTTGCTCCCGGGTGTGATGCTGCTAGATTGAAATCAAGCCAGCTGGTAATTTAGCCATCCAGTAAATGGCTTGGTGCTGGGTCCTCTGTCACTTGAAGATGGATCAATAACGGAATTAGCTGCAGACCCTTGAAGAACGACGACTCTACAACTTCATTTTCTCCTGTCAATTCATTGCAGCTATGATTGATTACACAGGGATGAGCAGTAGGATGAAGAAGTTACATTACAGTGCTTGTTGCCTCTATCTGCAGCTGCTTCCTGCTGCTTTTATTTATCTGAAAGTGTCCTAACCCAGATATGGTTCACATTAGGGACTTTTGGATAACAGGAGACCAGTTCAATCTTAATGATTATTTGAAACAGTTCAACGTTGTCCAAGCAAACAGTCTCCAAGTACCTGTAGAAGAAAGTTAAAATAAATCTTTAAATCTGACTTTTAAAGCAAAAAAATTGAAAAATAATTTTATTTGAGAATATATTGTGTGTTTAAGACACTAGAACAGGGCTATTGTAACTATTTCTTGCTGAAAGTAATGACCCTGACTGTTATTGGCCTGCTGTTGTTTAGATCGTGTACGCTGCTGTGGACTGCACAAAAGGACAGAACCATGAGCTTTGTAAGCAGGAGGGGGTCGAGGGCTACCCCACTTTCAACTACTACAACTATGGCAAGATGGTGGAAAAATACAATGGAGACCGTGGGGTAAGTAGCACTATTTTGCATGCACAAGTTCTTTAACGCTGCACATTTAATTCAGAAAATCTTTATGTGTGTGTAAGTGTGAGTATGCATGTTAAAATGTATAAGTTTGTTGCACTGATTGAATTTTGATGAAAATACTGCTGTCTGGATAAATCTCTGTTAAGGCCGTGAGATCTGAGAATGAAGTCCAAATGTTGCAGCTGCAATTATCTGCTGTTAAACACAGTTTTGAGCCATTTTGACAACATCCAGACTTTCTATTTAAACCAGCTGGCCTGGTTTCAGTGCAGGCCTTTACACAAACACACATTTTATACAATTTATGTTTAATTTTAGAGCATAAAAAGCCAGAAAATGTTTATTTTATAACAAAAAGAATACCAGTCAGTAGAAATGTACATGCAGGAGGATGTTTCCTTTAGATGGTACTGTTAAAAACTGTAGATTCAAAACCTTTAATATGTTCTTACTCTGACTGTGGTCTCAAAACATTTAACAGCCAAGCCAGGTGAGTTTTTTCTCTTATCCCACTACGTGTGTAGGTTCAGGGGATTCTGATGTTATCAGTCCATGAAATGGACGTTATTAGGCGTTATCAGTCCCATACAATGGCTTCAGGGGGTCCCTACTGTGCATTCTGGGCTTCAGACTGTCCCAACAGTGCCCCCTAGTGGGTTAATATATCAATGACAATGAATGTGTAAATAACCAAAAGATGTAATAAATATTTTGTGTTCGTGTGCATGTCGGTCTCAGGCCCTGGTCTCCCACTCTCTGGTCCAACTCTCTACCCATTGCCCTGTTGGAAGACCTCAATATACAACCGTTGGAGGGCGGTGTCTTTAGCGCTAACCATGTCATTTGCTCTAAAGTTAACCTTAGTGGTTTTATGTCTCATATTAACCAGATAGTGGCTTTATGCCTCATATTTACCAGATAGTGGCTTTATGCCTCGTATTAACCAGTTTTTTAATGCCTCATATTAACCAGATAGTGGTTTTATGCCTCATATTAACCAGCTGACAATCAGAAGCCATTCTATGGGACGGGGAACCTGCTAACTGGCACAGGCGGGGCATTCTGAAGCCATTCTAGGGGACTGATAACGCCTAATAACGTCCATTTCATGGATGATAGCATCCGAAGCGGGTGCAAGGTTTAATACGCTGACTTTCGGCCATATTCAATGTTTTGTTTTTGTTTTTGAAATCTTAGAACCCATAGTTAGGCTSTACAACAGGGCCTACAAAATTCATAAAAAACTTCCTGGTTGGACTCATCACTGTACAGTTCTTTCATTKTCTGATGCCTTGACTTTTCAGAATTATGTTTTGTATAGTGGTATTAATTTATATTTTCAGATCTTCCAAGGTGCCAATTATGGAACTCTCTGTGCATTGTTGCCCAAATCAAATTCTGGAAGTGGTCATTCAACTAGATCTGTTACAAAAGGACAACTGACATTACCAACTTTTAAAGACTGTTACGGCCAGAGGTCTTTCTTCTATGTTTATACTAAAGCATGGAATGACATTCCTCAAAACATAAAGTCCATTTCAAAACTACAGCCCTTTAAGAAGAATCTTGTCTGCCATCTGCTGGACACTTTTTGTTGTGCTCATAATTAGACGTCTTATTTAGCAAATGCTGCCTTCCTGAAATTTGGTATGCTTGTTTGTCTTTGTGTCTATGGTKTATAATGATGTGATTGTGATGCTGTAATTCTGAGTGTTTTATGTGCTGCAGAACAGGAACCTGCTGTAAAACAGCAATTATGCTGAGTCAGGCTTGATTTTTAATAATCTTTTCCTGTTAAATCAATAAATCAAATCAAATCAAATCATGTGACCATACTGGAGCAGCTATGGGGATAATTGTGATAGTGTTTGAATTTCATTCAATCTTGGTTGGATGTTTGATCATTTAGTTGTCAAAAAGAGAAAATGTAAGGTTCAAAGTTTGTCTTAAACATATTTCTATAGAAATCCTGTAAATTCAGACTTACACAACAGGTGTTCCTCCCTCAACTTGGATTGAACTCTTCTCCATTTATCACCGAAGCACCAATTGACAAAAAAGCCTCAGTTCTTTGCTTCTTGACAGAAAGTAATGCAACAAAGTCTTTGTTCTACTCCTCTGGAATCTTCCCTTGATTCCCTCTGTCACCATTTGTCTCATCAGAACAGGACAAGATTTCACAGTTTAGCTTGTGACTCATCTGAGCAGAAGCTGGAGAGAATGTTGTCAGATTCACCTACCTTGAAAAATGCTGAGCAAGTTGGTAATGACCATGTTCCATCTCGTCTTCAGTGGCTCCTTGGTTATCAGCCACTTGTTAAAACGGCACCACCTTTTTGCTCCTTACTGAGAATCTGATTGACCTGGCAACTCTTTAAAGCTTGGCTTTAACACAAAGACGTTTTAGAATACATTTCTACTGTTTTATTTTCAGGATAGCTTGTTTTAGTGTACTCAGATGGCTAAGGTCAGTAGTTGCACTCCAGAGTTTTGTGCAAAATTGTGAAAGAAAGAAGACCACCTGCACACACATTGCACATTATAAATTAAAATTGGCCAAAAAAGGTGAAGAAATAAAAAAAAATCAGTCCTGGGCACGTTAACGCGTTATTATTTCATTAACACAGCCGACAGTTAACGGCAATAACTTTTTCAGAAACATGGCGGAAGTCACCGGATTCTTCAGGGCATTTTTTATTTTAAAACTTTTCTTGACGGTGGGCTGGAAAGAAGTAAAGTTCTCTGTGAGCTCTGCAACTCTAAACGGTCTCACCACTGGAGCAGCTCCAGCCTGAAACATCACTTCAGTTTAAAACCAGAGGAAACAGAGGGAGGGTCTGCAGACGAGGCTGACAGGTGTGTTGGGGAAACAAAAGAAATAAGACCGGCTTGCTTTGCTTTATTTGTTTAAAGTTTTTTCATGCATTGCCCCTTTTTAAATATAATGCAGGACCTAAAAATGCTCCAAACATCTTAGTCAGTTAAATTTTGTGCAAGATAAGATACTATAAGATCAGATCAGATCAGATAAGAAAAGATAAGACTTTATTGATCCCGCCGTGGGGAAATTTGCACATTACTGCAGCTCAATACAGGAGAGGGTGAGAAGAACAAAGAAAGATAAATAAAAGAAAACAAAGAAAAAAATGAGCTTGAATCAAGAATTCAATTATTTTACTCATTTTTATTTGTTTTTTCATTCCAAATGAGTACTGCATGAAGAATGAAAGATAGATACTAAGGTCACAGCTGTCAGCAAAACATAAATAAATAAAATAAAATAAGTCATAAGAAAATAAAAAGAAATAACTGTACATAATGTGTTACACATGGAGTGTAGTGCAATGTACAAACCTACATATTCAGCCATAGTAAAGTGATTGTTTGTGACAAAAAGAAAAAGAAAAAAGTGATTAATCACAATTAATCGCAAAAATACACTGCAAAAACTGTCCACCTAACCAAGATTTAAAATCTTATATCAGCCAAAAAGTCTTTTTGATCTTGTTTTGAGACA